CGAGCATATGTGTGCGCACACCTCCGTATCAGTGCGACGGTGATCTTCATTTAGATTCAGGAGGAAATCTGCCCATTAGTGTCACACAGTGAACAGGCTGCTATCCTCGGGGTCACATGGCTCGGGAGAAATTGAGCAGGCTAAGGTATACAGCGCAGTTTAAATTAATTGGGAGGCACTTCAGTAGCTTTTCAAACATTAACCACAAATGGTGGAGTTTATACTGCGGGCTGCTACTGCTCCTCAAACATCCAGGACCGGGGGAGTAGAAAATGGTTATTGTTTAAACATTCATCTCATTTGAGCTGCTCCAGCTGTATCTACAGCGGATATGTGGGGCAAGTCTCCCCAAGGTAGTTATCATTTGTTTGTATGTGTGTGTGTGTGTGTACCATAAATACTCAAACAGTGGCCGGGGCTTTTGTTTACTTCAACTGAGGAGAGAGGCAGGCCTTTATTTGAGACAGGCTAATACATTTTATTTCCTCTTAAGCGTACTCTTTGACTATATTTAATAAAGTGGATCCGGTTTTCTGATTTGCCTCCCTTTGCAGTTTTAATATGTTGCTGCTGTATCTTGCTCCTGCACATTCAGGACTTTTCACAAAGAGCTTTCCACTAAAAGCCCCATTTCCTTCCCTGGAAAGCCTTCATTGTGAAACTTAGTGAGTGTGTACACAAGAAAGTGCAGAGCTTCATTTACAGGTCCGGCTACATAATCAGAGTGAGTGTGGAGCGCTTCTGAATGGAGTGTTGATGCACTAATGGAAGCAACGCTGTGGAATTATGCTGAGTTTACAATACTATATTTCCGGTGACTTTATTTGTGTGGCCTTTAAGTAAGTGCTAGATTTTATCTGAGTATTCGCTTGTCTTGATCTGTTACATGTGTCAGGATGTGCTTTTGAAAACAGCTCCTCTGTCAATTGTTTGCAATGTGTCTGACATGTTGAAGCTGCATGTCCGTGTCAGCTTGTTTCCTAACAGGTGGGTTGCAGCCCACAGACGGACCCTTGCTCCACTGTCGGTGGATCTTGGATGAGTAACAAGCATATGGATCCACTTTGCTGTGCAGGAAGAAAAAGTTGTTGGTCATGTGCTGCTGCTGCTGCTGCTGCTGCTGTCCTCCTGCCTGCACGAAGCCGAGACAGAACAGAAATGAGCTCACGCTTTAAAATGGCTAAATGCAAATGTGATATGGAGCGTTTTACTTATGCAAAAAAAAAATCACTACAGTGTGCGCCGTGTGTGGGCAGTAAAATATTGGCCTGGTGTCTCTATTATTCTATGAAAAAATGACCAGGCTTTAGTTTATGGAAGCAGTTTCAGAATCTTGAGTCTGTTCTGTGTGTAGCTCCTTCTAGCACCAGTGGTTTTGCAGCTTAGGTAAACTGGCAGCTCAAAAGTGCCCCTTGATGGCTATCTGTCCCAGTCTGTCTGGCTCGTGATCAGTCCAGGTGTAGCTTCACTCAGTGTGTCCTCAGATTGCCTCCTGCTTCCCTAGATAACCCTAAATAGGATGGATGGAAACGCACCTACAAGGATGTTAACGAACTGATACATAGACCTCAAGTTACTGTAACGACTGAGAAGAAATGTGGATCCCAGACCCACTGATGTATGGGATCTGAGAACTTGTAGAAGCTTCTTTGTTCAACCCTTAAAGCTCAATAGATGCACTTGGCGTCCAAATTCACGTGCCTTCTTCTCAGCTGAACTGAAGTGTTTCTTGCAGCACACATCAAATGAAACCACACAACTTGACCTTTGTGACAATGCCAGTCGCCTGCCTGTAACATGACGTACTGATAAGAAAAGATCATTTTGAATTTGCACGAGATTTATTCATAGTTACAACCTGCTCACGCCCGTGCGTCCGTCTCCGCGCCCATTACTCTGGTTTGAATTACTCATGAACATGTCATTGCATAGATATGCTAATATCAAGCTACATTAATATCTATGCAGTGATATGTTAATGTAATATCACAAGAAAGAGCAGAACCAGAGCTTTGAATGGGGACGGGGCAAACATCTGCCTGCTTTGCCACCTCTGAAAGTGTTGTATTCACTGAAGGGAACAGTTGAGTGAACATAACAATGACATTTATTTCTGTGAAGCACTGAGCACATACTTTTCCCAGTTTCCAAATTATACAGCACCCCACCATCATCATCGTTTTGATATCGACAGATTTCAGACAATCTGCGCCACACAGTTATGAAAACATGTCACTACTGCCAGACTTTTATGGTAAAACACACGAAAAAACAGAGAGAAATGTCATCATATCTAGTATTTTGCATTAGACAAACAACTAATATGAAAAGTGTTCTGAAAAAAAAAAAAACAAAAGCAAAAATAAAAGCCAGAAAATAGCCTGGGGCTCATAGGGTGCATATGGAAAAGGAACAGAGGGGAACAGAGAGGGGAAGATTTAAATGTCAAAATCAGAGTCATTATTGAATTTTCTCCAGAGTCCAAACAACCACAAAGAGTTCACAGCATCAGTGAGTGACAGTAGGAGGCTTCTGATGTGCTCTACAGCTGGATGCTAACACAGACTTCATCATATCATAGATCAGGGGTGTCGAACTCCGGTCCTCGAGGGCCGCAATCCTGCATGTTTTAGATGTTTCCCTCTTCCAACACACCTGATTCAAATGATCAGCTCATCATCAAGCTCTGCAGAAGCCTGATAGCGATCCTGATCATTTGAATCAGGTGTGTTGGAAGAGGGAAACATCTAAGACATGCAGGATTGCGGCCCTCGAGGACCAGAGTTCGACACCCCTGTCATAGATGCTTTGCAAATATTTCTTAGAGTTTGCTTTCTCCAGGTTTGAGCACCAGATGTTGTGGCGCTTACTGACATTACAAATGATGTGGAACAATTAATCGCAGAAAGGATGCAGAAAATGATGCAGAATTCACTTTCAAATAGTTTCCTCTGATTGTTGGGGGCTTTTGGCACACATCCTCTTGCATTATGTAGCAGACTCCACCCATCCTGAGGCTGTTAATGCCACACAGCCGTAATTTAGAGCGTTTATTTGCAGGTACTGGTGTTGGCTTGGATGTGATGACTATAAAAGGTGGTGCCTGCAATGCCACGGTTTGTTTTATGTGGCTTTAAAAATGACTTCATACAGGAAGCCACTAGAATAAACAAGGCTCCAGTTGGCACATTGCGCGACAACAAGGCTTCAGCGTAATGACAGAACAATTATTCTGTCAGTGAGTATTGTGACAGCCGTACATGGTAACACTCGGAGGGAACTCATGTGTATGAATACGTAGGAGCTTCATTCAGACATTCCAAACTGCACATCAGCTGTTTTCTTTTGTTTTATGGACCTAATGGGAATCCAAATGTCGACATAACTCTTTTACAGTAGCATGTTTGCCGTGCAGACTCCCCCCCCCCGACCTCTGCCCCTCGGTGGGGCAATCAGTCGATAAAGGTGGCAAGTTCTGAACGTTCAGCAAAAAATTCCGAGATGGCAGAGCAGCGAGCAGCGAGACGGTCGAGGATAAAAGGAGTTGCTGCAGGCACAGCGGATGACCTCCTGACCTCCAGCCTCCACCTGCTCTTTTGTAGCGTATCGGCCGTGATCAAAGACGACTTAAGATGAGAGCGGAGATGAGAGCCGACCCGACTGGACCAGGAGGTTAGTCTGTCAGGAAGCCGGCTTCAGATGCTCTTCCTCGCTGTGTGAACGACGAATCCAGGAGGACGTCCGCGGAAGGTCTCATTAGCGATGTTGAGAAGTCAGCAGAATGAAAAGATGCCGTACACAGGTGTGGAGGTCAAACCGAGCAGCTGATTTGTCGAAATGAAAAAAAAGGCATGTGGCATCTTTTTGGACTGGAGAAGAGTTTTGATGTGGCTACAGCCTGGTTGGAGGGTTGTTGGAGAGTGCAGACAAAGTGTGTGTGTGTGTGTGTGTGTGTGTGTGTTTACCATGGACTCAACAACAAGACACAGATCATTAACCTTAGATGGGAGTCATTTTTCTGCTGCTAATGATGGCTCATCCTCTGTATGAGTAACTAATGCTTTACATCGACCGAATTAACACCAGTTACTGTAGAACAACCACGACTGAGGCGGCGGCGGTGGTGGTGCAGACATCCAGAATCTCTAGAGAAAACCTGCATCAATGTACGGCTCCTATAAATCCCCCATTCCGTAGGCCGAGTTATTTAACGTCTGCTTTAATTAAGTGAGCGAGAACGCTACAAAACAGTCCCGCGTGTCAAATAAAAAGGAGCTCCGGCATTACTTTTATTTTCACTTTGGGACAATGACTGTGGGCTTTGATAGTCCTGTTGGTTTTGTTTTGTTTCTGTTGGCTGACCCTGATCTGCCCTGTGCGACTGTTAATTTACAAAAAAAAAAAAAAAAGGAAAGAAGTCGTCTGAGGGTGAGTTGAGGCACATTGTTGGAAAAAAAAAAAAAAAGGCACAACCCTTCTTCTCATTCTCATCACACTGGGACACACAGTGCAGAGTTAAAGGAAACCGGGGACACAATTTCAGGAAGTTTTCTTTGGCCTGCAGAGAAAAACCAGAGAGGAGATTTTTCTGAAATCCTTTTTTTAGTATCGTCAGAGGTTTCGGGGCAGGCGGAGGAGGGCGGGGGGGCGGACAAGGAGTTGCCTGGTCGAAACCGCAGCATGTGTGCCTCTGACTCTTGACTGGATGTGGTCTGGGGTCTCAAACATGCAGGAAACAGTCTGTGGCGCTCAGCTAACAGGTGCAAATTACCTCACTGTGCATTTCCCAGTGAGATAAATATACAAATTAGGGCAAGTTCTCTTATTTTTTGAATCCCTTGGTTTCTTGATTCCACTTGAAAACTGTATAACATGTCATAGATAGATAGATAGATAGATAGATAGATAGATAGATAGATAGATAGATAGATAGATAGATAGATAGATAGATAGATAGATTGTGCCGTATGTGACTCTTTCTCTCTGTCTCTCTTCTCCAGGGACCTGAAGAATAATTTGATAAGTACAGTGGAGCCCGGGGCGTTCCGTGGTCTACTGGCTCTGAGGAGACTGTAAGTATGATGAAGCCTTGTAATAGCCTTCTCCAGGGGACACGGGGAAAAGTCCTCTGGCTTTAGAGACGACGAGAGGGAGTGTTTCAAGTACAGAGTGAAGAGTAGACTGAAATGTTTAACTGAGGCAAAAGCGCTGAAAGTACTATTTCAGGCGTTGCTGAACTTTCTTTGCTCAAGCAAAGTTAACTCAGGACACGTTGTCCCGTTTAAGGCGGCGCCTTCCGTTACGCAGAAAGTTGTTAAGTACTTTCTATGTTCGTATTCTCGGGATAAGAACCACTGACTCCCTGTTGATGCTGCAGACAATATACAGACAATAACACAATAGCATCCATCCATCATCTATACACCGCTTAATCCTCACTAGGGTCGTGGGGGGCTGGAGTCTATCCCAGCTGACTCAGGGTGAAGGCAGGGGACACCCTGGACAGGTCACCAGTCTATCACAGGGCTACACTTAGAGACAGACAACCAAGCACACTCACATTCACACCTACGGACAATTTAGAATCACCAATTAACCTCAGCATGTTTTTGGACCTTGTGGGAGGAAGCCAACTGCACGGGGAGAACATGTAAACTCCACGCAGAAAGATTCCCCCCAACCTTCTTGCTGCGAGGCAACAGTGCTAGCCAACTGCACCTGCACCATCATTCTTGAGTTGGGACCCTTAAAGACATCAACGTTATGTTATTTCACTAAAATAAATGGAACTGAACTACTTTCAACAGAAGGCGACTGGAAGAGATCACACACTCGTTAGCATATTTACATCGTCATCCTGTCGTATTTTCATTCAGTCTATAGTGTCTGCTGATGCCACCCCCTTACATCTGGTTGCTTCTCTCCTGCTCTCTGTGCTCACGCATACTGATTTTAAAACAGCCGATAAAGCTGTTCACGTTTACTTTTCAGTTTCTGTAGTCAGACAACAGAATGAGAATGAAATAATGACGGAAACGCAGCAAATTAAGGCTACCTGTTGACCAGCAGTCACTTCCGAGTCACTTCCACACTTCTCCGTTGTAGTTAAATTACTCATATTATAGCCATAAGTCATCTGACAAAATCACCCATACACACACATTAATGCTACTGATTGTGATTTTAGCAATATGTCCATGTCATATGATGACTCAGAGAGAAACCTTAGAAGCAACAGAATGTCTTCTTCGTCCTTAGCACCACTATTTTTCAGATGCGATGGTTTGTCATGTTAGCCGATACAGTAAATTTCACATTGCTGATGGGGATGTTACGAAGAAGACATCAAGAGAGAAATAAATGGCATTTGCTGTTCTCTCCAAGTTTAACCGATCAGTCTTGTCTTGTCTAGTTTTAACCAGTCTGCTGTGAGAACCATATAGCAGCATTTTGTGGCTGGTCAGAAGTAGTGATCAGTCTGCAGCAGCAAACACAACATCAGTTCTATATCTACTGCAGGGTAGGTACTTCTGACCAATAGTCTGTCGTAAGTTTCTATCAAAAAATGTAAAAACAGACTCATTTCCTGAGGAAGTGATTATATGACGGGTGTTTTTCTGTTTCTAGAATCACGGCTGAATAACAAACTTTTGTAATTTTTGCTTTTTCTCTGTGGAGTTTTAGTAATTGTAACGGAAATTCCAGCAAACCTCCTTTAGTCCGCTGCTCGACCGCTACTGATGTTTTTAGTCTCGACACATGCAGATGAATGATGATGAGTAGAAGCGGATTCAGTCGGTCCCACTGACCATTTATTCTTCTTTGACACACAAGTCAAAATAAAGTAAAAACGCTTTAAATGAAAGAGTCTTTCAGAAGGCCTCGTTCCTTCGTGCAGCCACACGGTCAGACAACTGTTTGCCTTCCTCAGCCACACCTGATGCTGTGGCAGCTCCTTCTTAAGCCTTCTCCAGTGGGCTCCACCTCCAACTTCCTGAGTCAGGTGGAGCTAGACTCTCCGGCCTTCCTCTCGGTGGAGTTAAACACATCCATGACAACTCACTCCCCCACAAGCACACATGCACTCTCTCCCACTCACATCCACACACCAACGACAAGAAATAACATGAACACAGCTCAATGTGGCTCCTACAGGAATTTTCAGTTATAGTAGTGCTACATGTTGCACCGTCTTCAGTACAGGCAGCAAGTCAGATACAACTCTGCTTAAAGGAATGCTTTCGAGGGCTGCAAGGTGGCGCAG